CAGGGAATGAGAATAAAAATAATTTGTCTTTTTGACTCTGACTCAATTGTGAGCCCAATTTCAGAGGTGAAGAGCAATGTTCTAATTCACTGTGCCACCTATTTCATTGAAATGGATGCCTATATTCTGCATGAAAATTAATCTTTATAAATTTATTATAAAAGTGGCTGTTCAATTGTCTGACAATCAACAATGTTCTTTCTTTACAGTGCATTAGGTTGTCCATACTCTGAGATCAACCTGAACAGAGAGAATGTGCTTCAGGATCGTTTGAGTGGAGAGGTACCAGTCTGTACTGCGGTACTGAAGAACAAGAAAGTGGAAATAGATGGAATAGAAACAACCCCTAGTTTGTCTAGCATCACATCACATGGGTCTGCAATTTTATTTCAATATTGTTTTGTAGTTGAATGTGATATTTCATTTCTCTTTATTGTTATCTTGATTAAGTTCTGTTTTTCAGATGAATACTGAATATGCTGGTATTTGAAGGCTTTGATTCATGCAGTTCTACCTTCACGATAACCCATAACAACTTTGAAAATGTTTTGCCTTCAAACAATTGTTCAGTCCTGTATTCTGGCATTCTGCAGTTTTATTTCGAACTATCCTTTAATTTTCTTTATGTATCGTTCATTTTTCTCTCCCAAGTTCCATCTTAGTTGATTTGCTTATCTTTTGATAACTGTTTAATATTCAAATTTGACTTTTCTTTACTAAATTGTTGCACTTATTCCATTGCATTATGGGTTAACTTACCGAGGACAGAAGTTCTTTTGCAAATCACTTTGATCATTCTTCATTCTTTTATGAGTGGGAACAGTTTCTCCCTATCTAGTTTATCCAGCCCTGTCATGGTCAATGTTCCCTCTAATTTTTGTGTTGGCTGTATGGACTTCTGAGTAATCTGAGTGGTATATTTAACCAGAGCATTCCTTTAGTGGAAGTCATACAGTAATTCTTTCACTGTGTGTCTAACTATTAAAAGTATGCATTTATTATTTTACAGTTACAGGTGTGATACCCCCTTAAATAAAGCTATTTGCTCAGCTCCGAAGTCTGGAGATCCATTTAATGGTGGCAGTACAATATTCAAGTATAATATTCAGCCATAAGATGGTGCTAGTAGTTTCTTAACTTCTTTAGCGGTTTTTAGCACCTACCTTTATTTGCTGTTCAATGTTTATAAACCATGTCCAGTTTGATATTTTGCCCAGAAAAGTGTACAACCTAAATCACATCAAGTTGTCCAACAACGCTCCCTATGGTAGACTGGTTAGCAAGGTTAGATCACATGGAATACAGGGAGACCTAGTCATTTGGAAACAGAACTGGCTCAAAAATAGAAGGCAGAGGATTGCTTTTCAGACTGGAGGCCTGTGACCAGTGGTGTGCCACAAGGATTTGTGCTGGGTCCGCTACTTTTTGTCGTTTATATAAATTATTGGGATGTGAATATAGGAGGTATGGTTAATAAGTTTGCAGATGATACCAAAATTTGTGGTGTAATAGATAACAAAGAAGGCTACCTCAGAGTAAATGGGACCTGAATCAGATGGGCAGGTGGGCCAAGGAGTGGTAGATGGAGTTTAATTTAGATAAATGTGAGGTGCAGCATTTTGGAAAGGCAAATCAGGGCAGGACTTATACATTTAATGGTGAGATCCTGGGAAGTGTTGCTGAACAAAGAGACTTTGTGGTGCAGGTTCACAGTTCTTTGAAGGTGGACAAGGTAGTGAAGCATGCATTTGATACACTTGCCTTTTTGATCAGTGCATTGAGTGTAGGAGTTGGGATGTCATGTTGCAGCTGTACAGGATATTTTTTAGGCCACTTTTGGAATACTGTGTTCAATTCTGGTCTCCCTGCTACAAGAAGGATGTTGTGAAACTTGAAAGGGTTCAAAAAAGATTTGCAAGGATGTTGCCAGGATTGGAGGGTTTGGGCTAAAGGGAAAGACTTAAAAAGTCAGGGCTGTTTTCCCTGGAGCATTGGAGGCTGAGGGATGACCTTATGGAAGTTTATAAAATCATGAGTGGCATGAATAGGGTGAATAGACAAGCTGTCTCCCCCAGGGCAGGTGAGTGCAAAACTAGTGGGCACAGGTTTAAGGTGAGAGGGGAAAGATTTAAAAGGGACCTAAGGGGCAGCTTTTTCACACAGAGGGTGGTGCGTGTTAGGAATGAGCTGCCAGAGGAAGTGGTGGAGGTTGGTATAATTACAACATTTAAAAGGCATCTGGATGGGTATATGAATAGGAAGGGATTAGAGAGATATGGACTAAATGCTGGAAAATGGAACTAGATTTATTTGGGATATCTGGTCAGCAGGGACAATTTGGACCAAAAGGTCTGTATCCATGCTATACATCTCTGTGACTGTATGACTAAGTCAATTATTTCTAATCTATTGCTGGACTTAATTTACTCAAATTTATTAGGCTACGTCCACAATGAGTAAACATTTGATGCCTGAAATATTCACAAATGCCCAGAAGAATTAGTATTTCTTGAAACTGGTTATCTTTTAGGGCATCGTTCACCAAATCACTGTCTCAGTGCAACCCATATTGACTTTCCACAAGTATTGTTCAAATATCTTCATAGTTTGGTGTAAAAGTGGAATATTCTAACTCTGTTGGATTCATGATTGTTATGGAAAAGGACAAGGATGAGTCTGAAATCCAACTTCTAAACTGGAAAAAGCTGATTTTGATAAGATCAGGTATTTGGACCTGGAGCAGATACTTTAAGGTAAATCTATGTCAGAGCAGTGGGATACATTCAAGAAGGAAATAAGGGGTGTATAGCGCCAACATGTTCCAGTAAGCACAAAGGGTTAGATCAACAAATCCAGCAAACCCAAGGTAAAGAGAAAAAGGGAGGCTTACGGCAGATACCGAGGGCTCAAAACAGCAGAAACCCTGAAGGAGTACATAAAATAAAAGGGGAAACTTTTAAAAACTTAAATCATTCTGAAGAAGAGTCACTGGACCTTGAAATGTTAACTCTGCTTTATCGCCACAGATGCTGCGAGACCTGCTGAGTTTCTCCAGCAATTTCTGTTTTTGTTTCAGATTTCCAGCATTCGCAGTTCTTTGTTTTATTTAGTTATATGGAATTCTTGCCTTTATTAGCTAAGGGCTAGATTTTAAGGGCAGGGCGATTATGCTGGAACTGTATAAAATTTGATGAGCCAGATCTATAACATTGTGTATAGTTCTAGAACTCACATTATAGGAGGGATCTGATTGTATTGGAAAGGGTGCAGAGGCAATTTACCAGGATGTTGCCTGAGGCTGGAGCATTTTAATTTTGAAGACAGAATGGATATACAGGGGTTGTTTTCCTTGGAACAGAGGTGGGAACACAATGTGATGTATAAAATTATGAGTGGCATCGAGAAAATAGACAGAAAAGAACTTTTTTCCCCTTGCTGGAGGAATCGGTGACCAGGGGACACAGATTTAAGGTAATGGGCAGGAGATTTTGAGGAAAAATGTTTTCATCCAGAGGGTTCTGGGAAACTAAAACTGACTAACTCTAAGGGTGCTAGAGGCAGAAATCCTCATAACATTTAAGAAGTATTTCGATGTGCACTTGCAATGCCCAAGTATACTAAAGCTATGTGATATGATAGTTTAGTGGGTGTTTTTGTCTAGCACAGACTTGACGGACCAAAGGGCCATTTTCTGAGCTGGAGACCTCTAGAACTGTATATCAGTTGCACCACACTGTATTTTCCTAGTTCATAATCAGTTGTTTTGACAATTGTCCTGATCAAATGCATGCCACTCCATTTATTCCTCTTCAGGAATTCTGCTGTCCTGATGATCATATGGTCACATAGCACATGTATAAAGTGAAAGATTGCAGCATTGTCAACATCACAGCCAGAACCTCCTTAACTTTATTTCTCCAATCACTATGTTTACCTGGATACTGAGTTTTCTGTTTAATAAGCTTGACCTTTGCTTTCAATGTTGTCAATCAATTAAATAAAATAATGCACAGTGATGGTAGTTCATGTAGAACATCATTCAGAAGTGTTGATGCAACCTGCTATTGTTGCTTTGTGAGCATTTCCAGTATTAGCAATATTAGTTCATTGGATTGTTGAATTTATTCGCTCGTTCTTTGCAGTAGTGGATCGAGACATCATAATTTTGTGTTAGTGCACTTACTGAATTGACAACTACCTCACTTGATTTAGTGGTTGAAATAACACTATCAAATTGTGACTTAGGACAATATGAAGAATTTGCCATTCTTTACAGATGACCTGCTGGACATTATACACATTGTTCTTAGAAGCATTTCAATATCGTGCATAACTGAGACCTGATCCCAAGATCTTCTGTGAGCAGCGCAATTCTGTTCCAACAAATATTTAGCTTTATGTCACAACATTGCTGATAGTGTGCTTTTCTTTTCAAGCATAACACAAGCTCTGTCTGACATAACCAAAACCATCTTATGTAAATCGTGATCATTGTTCATGTAAAATTGCTTGATTGCTGTTTCTGTGGTAACATTGTTGCAAGCAGTCAGTTTTAAAATAATTACAGAGGCAGTCTTGTAAACGACTTCAGATACTGATCAAAACTCGATGTACAAAATCAACATTGTTTTTGTACTGAAATGTCCATGCCTTCATCTACTATCAATGTATGAAAACGCAATTACACAATTCATCCAAGAACTGTTTCTACATAACTAAATTAATGCACTTGACAAATTTAAAGACGTAATGCTTGCTGCACCACCTCTTGGTAATTGCTGTATACTCTGCCGCATGATCATGTATGTCTTGCATGGGAAGCATTGATGCAGTCATCTTTATTGCAAGTATGACATTATCAATTAGGAATTCTAATTTTCACCACATACTTATTATCTTTTTGAGCTCTTTATGCTCTGCTTTCACCTCACGATCTCCTGGAGTTTTGGTTAGCGTTCATAACAGTCCATCTTGTGATTCCATAAACTAATGACAGAATCCATCTGCACTCTTTTTTGGTTCAAATTCCACTTTAGGCAATCTCCAGTGCAGAACTCGCCTCCCAGTATCTGCTTTAGAGCAAATAGCATATTGAGTATTGAGAGTTTCACGATCAGTGAAAATCCCATCAAGTCTTGTCTTCTGCTTCTATGTTAAAGATGACATTTTGGTTTTGATGATCTCAAAAACTATTCCCTTTGGAATTGTCCACAGGATTTTCTTTTGTGTGTACTTTTAAGACTACTTTGCTCTTCTTTTTGGATATTAAGAAAACAAATTTAAAAACATGAAGGAAAAATATAACTTGGTACTTGTGTTACCTGTCCTTTTGGCCGCCTGATGTCCGATACTCATGGTCGGTACAGACAATCCC